TCAGATGCAGAGTTGATATGCTATTCAGACTCTGATTGGTATGAAGACATAGTTGAAAGAAGAAATACTTCCTGACATTTTTGTTTGTATCTAAAAAGTTATATTCCTTGGTGCTCCAAGAAGAAACTAGTGGTTGCGTTGTCAACCTATGAAGCTCTCAAAAAGAAAGTGTGGATGAAGGCCATGAAAGAAGAGCTTGATGCTATTGAAACAAACAAGACCTGGGAGTTAACTGAGTTTCCGAAGGAGAAGGAAAACATCAGCGTCAGATGGGTTCTCAAGGAGAAATATGCACTTCTAAATAAATTATTAGAAGTTGCACACTCTAACAACCAAAAGCAGCTAGTAGATGTTCTGACGAAGGATGTCAAGACTGAACACTTTATTCGTTTGAAGAATAAAATTTATGTCGTAGTTTTATGGTTAGCTGAATATGAATTAAGGGATTATGATGGAAGTTGTTGTTGTCAGAAGCTTTTGATGTTGTTCTCAAAAACAGTGTTGCGCTCAGGAACAGTAGAATTTTTGAGGTTACGTCCAAAAATATGTTTAGCTTCTGAGGTTTTAGTTGTGCTGTTAGTTTTTTGAAAAATCCTAAATTAAGCGATGGTATTGAAGGATAATTTAATATTTTTAGTTGTTTTGATAGCTTAGCTATTAAGTTTATTTATTAGGACCTATGTGACAATTTACTCTGTGTATAAATAGACTAGTAGTAACAATCATTTGTATTATTCCTTTTGTAAGTTATATAACCGTCATTACAATAAATATATTATCTCTTATCTTTCTTTCATTTATTAACCTTGTGCACACACATAGATATAATTAACTAAGATATAAACTCTACTCGCTATATTTTTTTGCACAAAATTGATTAATGGTAGAATAACAAGAGCCAAAGACCATCTAATGAAAAAGAGTGCAATATTCAAGCTTGCACCAAATATTTATGCCAAATAGCTTTAAAGAAGATTATGTTGAAGTTAGAGAAGAAGATTAAAGATTCAATAATATTTTATAGTTCTGTTTTATGATGTCTTTTATAAATGAAATATTGAGATACTTAAGACATGCCACGTCTATTTTATTTATCTTATATATGAATTCTAGTTTCCTCAATATAATTTTGTTATATAATTTTTATGACTTCTGATTTTTTATTTTTTTGATGCTATTACAATTTTTTTGAGTATAAATAATATATTTTGTTTGTCCGCCGTTCTTCCCCAATTTTCCGTTCCGTCATCCACCATATTTTTATGGCGGATTTTTGGCTCGCCGCAATTTTCCACAATCCGCCATAGACACACCACTGATTTCATTCAACCAAATAGTCCAACAATATTTTTGGAGAAAATGATTTCAATTAACTGAACTTGAAAACAATAATTTTGCTTGGTGATTCAAAACATAAGATGAAATATCACAACAACAAATAGGAAAACAAATCAATATACATTGAAATCAATGGAGCTACTTAAAAGGCAAATTTTCACCTGGTTCATTCATTATGATACAACACCTGCATCACTGTGATTCATTACTGAAACAAACAAGTTTTTATCAATTCTAAGCAAGATATCGATACATTTTTCTGTCGTTATCATCCCTCTCCAAAAAGTCTCGTTCAATGAGAGACTCAATCCGTTTCTTGACCTCCGTTGGATTCGCCAGGAAACGCGACAGCAACTGCTTTGTGACTTCAGCTATAAGGTTGTTATGATCAAGTTGCTTCCTAGATTTCATGATCCTTACTATCGCGGCTTCAATCTGAGGCTTCCTGTCCTCCTCTACTCGCTGCCGAGTTTCCTGTTTCTCCGGTTCGGATTCCTTTTGTGCAACTACCGTTCCTATTTTAACCTTGTATAGTTTACTACTGAACTTGTCGTTGACAAAGAAAGTGTCGTCCTCAACAACATCTTTACTCATGGGCTCCTTTCTAAGGACATTTCTTCCCTTAACTAAAGCCAATGATTGCAGGCATCTCTTAAGATCGGAAGCAGGAATCTCGGTTGCTTGCTCGATCTCCTTGTAGCTGAGTTTATCAGCATTGTTGAAAAGCATGAGGACACACATTTGGTAGGTAGAGACGTTTAACTCATGCTTCTGACCCTTTCCAAAGGTTGCTTTTAAATCTGCAAAGCCCATGTTAGTTTGCCACGACAATCTCCTGCCGGTATGCGTGCCAAGGTAATATGACCGGAACTTCTCGCAAAGTGCAGATATTTCGGCTGGCAGGTTGCATGTAACACTAGACTGAGTTGGCCAAGACCCTGTAGTAAGAACCTGGACGGTAAGTGTAGGACCATCGCCTAAGTCAGGGTGGCAGGCATAAAAGCCCTGCATTGTGTCCTGAGAGGTTTTCATGTCTGTAAACATCCCCTCTAATTTAGAAGTAAATTGATAACCACATTCAGTTTTGAGTTTAACAATGAGACTTCTCTCGGCATCATCAGAAACCGTTTTTCCAGACAAAAGCCTCTTCGCCAGATGCTGTTTGTAATACTTTTCAAAGACATCTTTTTCTTGCAAGTATCGGAATAGCATCATCACCTTGTCAAGTGTAACCTCTACATCATCCTCGTTGACCCCTTTCAGACCCTTACGAAGTTTATCATCTACAAATAGTGAAATGAACTCCGGAGAACGAGGGTTCAAGTTAATGAAATATTCAAACGACGAATTCAAAGCATTCTGGAAAGACTTGTCGTTGTTGAATGGCAGGTTTATAATCTTGTCGTACTTGTCTTTCTCATCCAAGAGCCTCTGCACAAACTCGACCGGATCCTTCAACCTTTCCGGATCAGTAACAAGCTGTTTACCAGACTCCCTTATGTGAGAAGTCATCACTTCTCGTATTTTTGAAAGACCATCGGTAACACGGCGGAACAAGTTATACATCCTACCCAAATCTTCATATTTATCATCACAAAGCATGTTAACTAGGCCAGAATTCTCCATATGGATTAACCTAAGCATGTGATTTTCAATCATCTCCTTCTCCACTACATTATTAATCTTCTTTTCAGTCTCGGGATCCAAGTAATGGCTAACTCTATCCATTTCCTCGTTCAGACGCCGCTCAGCTTTCTTAAGATAGTCACCACAATCACAACATTCAATGAATCTCTGTGATTCTACCTGGTAAAACTCAGCTGAAACTTTAAGAAAATGAGTCTCGAATTCTTGTCCATAAACAGAAGGACCTAAATCCATAAGCATTTTTGTTATATTTCTCATTATTCCTCTATCAATAACTTCACCAGTGCGTTCACCATGTACTAATTCCAGAAGTGTGTTCAGTAGCCGAGTCCTAATCTGGCTGGAATAAATGACATTTTCTCTCCAAAGATTCAGCCCGAGTTCATGGACAGGAGTCTTGCGGGCGCTTGGAATGTAAGTCCTGTCCATGTACATCAGTATATCTCTAATCATCTGTAATGCCTTATTATGATCATTCCATTTCCTGTTCAGTTCTTCTAGAAAAGAACCTCCTTGAGCAGCTTCAATAGATTGAGCTATATCTTTGAGATGCGCAGTCATGGTTGCAACCAATCCTGAGTATAGCCTCTCACCAAACTTGTGAAGCACCATATTGTATGCATTTCTGAATCCACATAGAAAGATAGGGGGAGGTTAGACACATAAGATCTATTTTTTCTCCTACAATAAAATGAATTAAACATAATTATGAAACACGCCTAATCAATAGTTGTAATGGTTTTTATTTTATTTTTACCTGTTCGAAAGTGTTACAAAAGCTAAGCAATGACATAAGTCTCACAAGCATAATAATTATATAAAAAGAAAAACAATTATTAGTCAAAAAGATATTGACACGTGTTATCAGAAAAATAAAGGACAGCAACAAAAATTACTATAACTAATTGTAAATAATGTGCAAAATGGAAAAAAGGTAAAACCATTTTTTTTCAATGCATGACATGCATATGAAGATAGAAAGATAACAAGAATAGTAATGGACATAAGAAGATTGAAAGGCCGAGAAAGAAAAGCTGTGTTCAAAACACAAAGGAAGCTGAACAAGAATATGTAAGATCAGAATGTTAAGCATGGTAGCAGCATCCTGGTCAATATTTATTACTACTATAAGAGAATTTCATGACAAGTTTATGGTTCTTCATTTAAGAATAAGTCTTTAAAAACATGAAGATGTTTATAGAAAAGGTAAATGAGAGATCGCCTAAAAAGATTGGCATACAGAAGCCAATTTCAACTTATATGAGAAGCTATTTTTTAGAAAAAACTCTTATCATCATTTAATATATTATTTTTCACAAGTGCTTCTTGAGAAATTTATTTAATAATAGAAGACAAGAAAATTGTGAACTGAAATGCAATATTATGTATTGAAAAGTTGCTGAAGTTGAGGTCACAAGCAATGCTTCCATATTTTTCCACCGATCGGAATGGACAACAGTAACTAGGAGTCAACTTTTGATTAATCACAGGCAGCTGCCTTAGCACCCTAGCCACTACGGTATCATACCAATTCTACATAATAAAACTCAACTAACATTCCAAATGCCCATATGCACAAACCATAGAGAGTCCCTAAATCTAACAAACATCAACATCAACATCAAACCCAGAAATCATTCTCTTATTCAAATTTAAACAACCCAAAAACCTCAATTGAACTCAGAAACATCTAACATAATACAATAAATAAAACAATCAATCCCAAATATTTCCATCAAATGAATCATAAACATGAAAACAAAAAAATAAATAAATAAAAAAAGAAAAGAAAAATTGAATAACCTGTAAAGTTCTTCAAAACTGAGACCACTAGCGTTATGATTATAAATCTCATGAATCGCATCTTCAAGAATCTTCCACGTTTTGTCTGCATATTTCGGATCCATAACCACCCTATGCTTAAACGCCTCTATCTGAAAATTCCTCTTCTTCTGGTTACTCATTTCTCCCCTTTTCAATCAAAATCCCAATTCCCACAAACCCAAAACCAAAAATCACAACTTTTTCCAAACCCAAAACCAAAAATCAAAACTTTCTTCAAACCCAAAACCAAAAATCACCACTTTCTTCGAACCCAAAATCCCAAAAAAAAAAAAAATTATTTCATTTTCTACGGAGATTAATTTTACGATGATATTTGATTTAGAAAGTTTGGAAAAATGGATTGGGATTAACGAACGATGAGATTGTCTCTTTTTTTTTTTTGTTGGAGAAAATGGTGATGAAGACGAAGATAGAACAGAGACTCTGTTTCTTCGAGATTTGGTTTGAAGAGACGAAACGATGCGTTTTGGAGTTGAAATGTTTTCAGCGCGTTTCGAACACAAATTGGATTGCACCGCTAGATTACTAATAATTGTTTGACACTGGTTTCTCAATCATTTCTTTATTTTAGATATATAGATTGATTTAATTTTAGATTTTTAATCTCAAATGTATGAAAAATCTATTTTATTTTAAGAGAAGAAGAAATTATGATTTAATGAAATGAAAATTATTTAATACTAAAAATATAAATAAATGGTGTTTATAAAATATGGTAGTGGGTCTAAATTTATTTTATATAGAAATACATCAAATATTCGTATAAAAAAAGAAATACATGAAATATCATATATTTATGGTAAAATTGGCATTTTCAAAATATAATTATAGCTAATATAAAGATATATATATGATATAAATAACATTATATTCAAAGAAAAACTCATTTATAGAGTATTATTTTGAACATTTTCTTTCATTTGTATTAATCTATGACCAATAAATTTAATTTAAAACACATGTTACAAAAGGAAAACTCGTTTATGTGGCTGATTTTGAACTTTTCCTTTTCAATTATTATCATGATGATTTACCGCATGACTAACGGCTACATCAATGTTCATATGGTTTTGACCTTTTTCAACACAAAACCCTTTTATTATAAAATGTAGTCTGCTCAATACAATTTCACATAACCGATTCTCCATCTTCTTTCATAGAAAAGTTTGTATCTGCTTCATTCATGTTTTCATTTTTTTTATGTTGTAATCGTTTATATTCAATCTATTTCATGTTCTGTAATTTTCAAACTATGTTTCGGATCCGTTTCAAAGATTTGTTTATGTTCTACGATTTTTCTAATAAAGCAAATGAACCGTTTCAAATATATGTTTCACGTTCTGCAATAATCTTACAACATGAGTTTCAAATTCTGATTTTGTTTTACTAACTTTGTTGCTCACAGAATTTGTTGTACCTACTTATCATATTAATGTACTCGAACATGTGAAGAATGTCAATACCTCCTATTTATTGGTGACTTGAAATAAGGGATTAAGATATAGAAGATGTTTATTCGTATTGTTGACCTCTAGACTGCTAGAGAGCGCAATGGCCAATAACATCTTGATTTGTTTATACGAGATGCAAAGATCTTCTCTACTTCCCTCTGTTTATGAGATTCATCATTTAGCAATCTCTCATATACCTTTATTACATTCATATTGCAGGGAGAACAAATACAAGTTGTGACACGCATTAGGGAATTCAAAGAGTGGGTTGACAAACTGATTGAGTGTTTTATTTTTTTCATTATTGTATGAAAAGGTTCATGAAATGGCACGGGAGACAATCAGTTAGATTCAAGCAAGAAAGTATGCATAAATATTTTTCTCAATGATGAAAAGTCTAAAATCTTGATTATTATGTATTCCAATATTTTCATTATAATTTTGAAAATGTGATTGAAATTCTTCATGAAAGTCACAAGACACTATCAAAATATTGTTGTCAACGATGAAAAGTCTAAAATTTTGATTATTATTGTCGCACTGTATGCGAAATATAGCGGTAAAAGTTTGATAATAATTCATTGATTGACTTAACTCATACAGTGAAAGTCGCCACCATATTTTATTATTTCCAAAGAGAAAATGGAAAAAGAGAAAATAAAACCTAAAATGAAATAGAGATCAATGTACGGGTGTTGGTTATGCAAAGGAAAGATATTAGCACCTAAACATCTATGATACTCCACAAAATCCACTTTGTTTGTTTTAATCAAAGAGTGTGCTATCTAAAGATTAAACTTGCTACAGGAAAAGAATGAATTATTAAAGAAGCAAAAAGAATTTTTTTGTTATTGCGCCTGCGGCGGTTGCAAACCTTTGTGTCTACGTACCCCCTTCGTGCAATGAGAGGACCAGGGCACTCATAGTTCTTCTTGAAAAGAACAAAATTGTGTGTTGATTGACTTTAAATGAAGAGACAAGTCATCATTTTTAAAGATAAGACTCGTCTAAACGCCCATATGGTATAAGAAAGAAGGACTACACACTAACATGAGGGAGGGTTTGAGAACACCTCTAGTACTCAAGTGAAAAAAGTCGACAACCATGGAGAAAGAGGAATAACATCTCGATTATAAATGAATCATGTCTAATCTGGAAAAATGTTTTAAAGAAAAAAGGTGTTTGAGCGCACAAAAAGGTTTGAATGAGTTGAATGTTTTTTAGTCTTTAAAAAATGATTTGTGAATTGAATCGTAATAAAGTCTGAAAATGGAAGAAAGAGCAAGGAAAAATATTCATTTGTTCATGCAATTTGATTTAAGTTTCATTTGGTTTCAATTCTCTTGCGATTACTAACTTGTTTTTGGTTTGTGTAGCTTTAAAGTAACTCAAGTGTTCACTTCATCTTAATGTTACTTTGTTGCTTTTAGTTAATTAACTAAAAGTCGATTTAGTTATTTGATTTCGTTATTACGGGGTACTCGCCCGAAGTCATTACATCAATGAGAATTAAGAAATTCCACAAGACATTAACTCCACAAGAAGAAATTACAACTAACTTTGGAGGAAGAACCGATCACATTCCAGAGCCACGAAAGTAATATTGCCTTATGCACTACCTCCACTACATGAAAGACTTGTGAGTTAAATAAAATCTCATTCCTCATACACCATGATGTCCCTTGTTGTTAACCATACTAAAAATATCTTTCTTGACCTAACAACACCACCAAACACATTGTAAAAGCTTAAGAAATGCTACACCCCCTCAGAAGCATTATTTAGCACCACCCCTAATCATATTGCCACTTTTTGCCACACCAATCTTGAATATGGACACTGAACCAGCAGATGATCCAATCATTCAGTTGCTAAGAAACAAAAAACACATACCTTATCTCTATTATCAGTAAATATCCCCCTCCTGCCCAATTGCTCTCTTGTAGTTAACATGTCTCTGATGAACCTCCATCCAAAAACTTGTACTTTTTTATTGAACCATTGTTTTCCATATTATGGCCACTCCTGCCCAATTATCTGAACATTGAGAAGATATGTTGTTATTGTTGATGTAAACTACATAACCTGGGCATACAAAGCTTCATCTGAATTGTTGAACCATTTGAAGTCGTCCTCCTCCCCCAGCTTTGGCCTGATATCATATAGGATAGCCTCGAGTTCTGCCAACTGTATAAATGTCGGACCTGAAATCCCCAATTGTACTGGTAACAAAATCCAGTTCCGAGAATCACCTTCAAACATCCACATTTCCTCCACTGATACTTATGGATTGGTGGACAATTTAAAAATAACTGGAAACAAAAACATCAAAGGGACTCCACCTAACCAATTATTTTTCCAAAACCTTATTGATTGACCTGGTCCTAACCCACGTGCAATAACCCTTAGGAACCAATCTTTAACCACGCCTTCAGACTTGATAGGCACAATGTCCCGCCACCATAATGAAGACATCTTATTCGATGCTATGAAAATCCCTCATAGAACAACAACTTCCAGAGGACGTACCTAAATTCCAGCAGTGGTCTCCACAACGGCTCCTTATCTACTAGGAACCTCCACTTCCATTTACACAAAAGTGACTGAGGCAACTAGGAAAATGAACAAAGAAGTCTCCATCAAATGTTATTTATCCCAAAGAATGGAAAGGAAAACCTTGAGTAAACCTAAGAGAATGGTATGGGAGTCGATTATGCAAGGGGAAGGTATTAGCACCCCTCACATATGTGGTACTCCACATGATCCACCTCTTGTTGTTCTAACTAAAGGGTGTGTCTATCTAAACTTACAAGCTAAGGGAATGCATGAATGCAAAAGAAAAATATACAGGGAAAATAAAGGTTTAAATAGTTGTGCTCACTTAGGGCCTGTAACCCAATGCCTACGTATCCTTTTTAAGGAATCAGAGTGTCGTAGTTCGGCTTAAAAGTTTTGTTTGTTTTGTGTTTTTAATGAACGATGCTAATTTCTCATTCTACTACCGCTCGACCTTTGGAGACTCAAACAATTAACATGTTCTTACTTGAAAAGGTTTTCTTAAAAGAAATGCCTGAAGGAAAAAGGTTTGAATTAGTTTAGTCTTTTTTACCTTGATATGGAGGAAGAATTGCAAAGAAACATGCAAGGGAAAGCTAAAGAAACTATTCAAATGTCAAACTAGTTCCTATAAATTATACCACTAAAGGTTATAGCCTTAAAGTTCACTTATAACAACAAGACAAAGCTATATTCAAGCAAGAATCAAGTTCAAAAACTTGTCCTAAAGTTACAAAGAATCATATGGCATCACATGCAAATAAAGTTCAAACAACTAGTTAATTCAAGTAAGGAAGGAGAAACATGTTTTCAAAAATCACAAAATAATCAAAACTTGGGAAGCGAGTGAGTTTCTAATGAAACAAACTATGGAACCTTATAAGTCAGTAGAAAACCCCTAAGCATTTATCTTTAAAAAAACTCTCAAGAAAGGTCATGATTAAAGCAAACTATGTGCCCAAAGTTAGGTCAAAATATCCAATTGACAACTTAGGAGCCAAGCATCATGATACACTAAGCATATGACTCAATTATGAACTCAAAATCAAGATAAAAGCTACCTAAACATGTTAGTCAAAAAAGTCAATTAAACATTATACCAAGCATTAGGCATCATACACATAAGATCAACTCCTAACTAGGTAAACAAGTAAACCATTATTCATTTTTGTATGACCACAAAAGGAAAATTCAAACAAATGTCTAAAAAGACCTCAAAAATTATGGAATTAAACCATAAGTCATATTATTATGTACATTATCATGTCACAAAAAAACCCTAAGCTACTGCACAAGTGCAAGCTTAAAAATAAAACAATTACACAAACATGTGTTTCCAATTAGGCATGAATTGAGGCTTCTAAAACTAATTGAAAAATGATTCATTTCTCAACCAAAAAATACCAAATTAACATATAAACTATGGGAAAATAGGCCTTTATCCATTGCAATAAAAATTGGTTCAAAATAGTGATCAACAATCATCAAATACAAGCCTTGATCAAAAGGTAGTCAATTAGAATGTCTTCACTA